TTTTTTATTTATTGTAGAGATGAGGTCTCGCCAAGTTGCCCAGGCGGGTCTTGAACCTACGGGCTCAGGCAATTCACTCACCTCGGCCTCCCAAAACGCGGGATTACAGGCTGAGCCACTGAGCTGCTCTTTGGTTTTGAATGGTCAGTCTGCTATCCTGAGATTTTAATATTTGGAATGTCAAACTCCTCTGTGTAATGAAAATGCCTAGAACATAGTTGCACTATAATCAAATGATTAAGCACTCAGACTTTAGAGTTGTGCTCTCCAGGACAGGGGCTAAATTTAAATTGATTAAACTTTTTTTTTTTGAGTTGTAGTCTCATTCTGTCACCCAGGCTGGAGTGCAGTGGCACACTCACAGCCACCGCAGCCTCAACCTGCTGGGCCCAGGCAATCTTTCCACCTCAGCCTTCCAAGTAGCTGGAACTACAGGTGTGAGCCACCACGCCCAGCTAGTTTTTTATTTATTGTAGAGATGAGGTCTCGCCAAGTTGCCCAGACTGGTTTTGAACCCCTGGTCTCAGGCAATCCTCTCGCCTCAGCTGCCCAAAGTGCTGGGATCGCAGTGTTGAGCCACTGCGCCCGGCCTGATGAAACTTGAGTAAACTGTAAAATTTCCTCAGTTATAGTCCCCACATTTCAAGTGCTTAAGAGCAACTTGTGGTTAGTGGCTGCCATATGGGACAAACAGATGTAGGACATTTCCACCATAGCAGAAAGGTTTTTGTTTTTTGGGTTTTTTTTTGAGTTGGAGTCACTCTTTAGCCCAGACTGGAGTGTAGTGGCCGCTCCCGGCCACCGCAGCCTCAACCTGCTGGATCCTTCTGCCTCAGCCTTCTGAGTAGCCGGAATTACAGGCGCATGCTACCACGCCCAGCTCATCTTTTTGATTTATTGTAGAGATGAGGTCTCGCCTGCCCAGGTGGGTCTCTAACCCACGGGCTCAGGCAGTCCACTCACCTCAGCCTCCCAAAGGCACGGATTACAGGCTGAGCCCCCGAGCCGGCTAGCAGAAAGTTTTTACTCAACATCGGTCACTGCTCAGGGACAGACCCATTTCATTTAACCCTATGTCCCCTGGCAAGTTTACACACACCCCTCTGGGGCTCAGCTTTCTTATCTGTAAAATGAAGATAATAAAAAGTCAGCATGGGCCGGACATGGTGTCTCAAGCCTATAATCCCAGCACTTTGGGAGATCAAGGTAAGGGGGTTGTCTGAGCCCATGGGTTCAAGACCAACCTGGGCATCTTGGCAAGACCTCATCTCTACAGTAAATTTAAAAATTAGCCAGGCATGGTAGCACGCACCTGTAGTTCTGGCTACTTCGATTAATGGTAAATGGTATAATGCTTGTAAAGCTTGTGCAAAGCCCAACACATAGTAAGCAATGAATGTGTTCACTATTACTGCTAGTGATTTTTTAAAATTAAATTAGGATTGATTTGGACACTGTGAAAAAGATCAGAAGACAGCTGATACCCAGCTCTGGCTCGCTGTCACCATGTGAGAATGCAGGCCCGTCTTCTGAATTTTTAGGAGAAACGAGACATGCAGATTCTTTCCTGAAATCTCAGATTTGTAAATTTGGCGACTCACTTAAATATTTTTCATTTCACATTTGGAAATATACAGAAAAGTGAGAAAAACCAATCATTTAATGGAAAAATATAAACAAGCATCTTGGTAGCCACTACCCAGATCAAAAAATAAGAGTGTTACTGGCTCCTGGTAAGGCCCTCTCTGTATCCTCCTTGCTCTCTGCAGGTGACCGCTCTTCTGGGTTCTTAAAATTCTGTGGGAGCCAAGCAAAGCACATCTGTGCATCGTGTCAGTCCACTAGACCACAAGTTTGAGTCTCTGAAGTAAATTCATGTCATATGGGTCATTTTCTAGTCTTAGTAAAGTCTCTAGCTATATTTCTTTGAGTCCATCCTGGTAAGCAAAGGTACACAGCTACAGCAACCAGTGCTCAGAAACCCTGTCACAATTATTGAGGACAGCACTGAATTATTGATTGTATCAGCACTGAATTTGTCACTAAAAGAAAAGGATCTCATATTCTATATGTTCTTTGTGTTCTGTTCCTCATATCTCTGATTCTCAGAAGAGCCCCTACTACTGCTGCGTTACAGGTAAAGAAACAGCCTCGGATTATTCAGGTGATCTAAGATTCAAAGCAGGACTTCCATTTTTCATTCCCTTTTTCTTTTTTCTTTTTTTTTTTTTAGTTGGAGTCTCACTCTGTCGCCCAGACTGGAGTGCAGTGGCCACTCCTCGACACCGCAGCCTCGACCTACTGGGGTCCGGCGATTCTTCTGCCTCAGCCTTCCAAGTAGCTGGAACTACAGGCACACGCTACCACGCGCAGCTAATTTTTTTTTTTACTGTAGAGATGCGGTCTCACCAAGTTGCCCAGGCGGGTCTTGAACCCGCGGGCTCAGGCAATCCACTCACCTCAGCTTCCCAAAGGCATGGGATTACAGGCTGAGCCACCAAGCCCGGCATTCCATTCCCTTTTTCAATAAATAAGCCCATTGACTACATGAAAGTCCTATGATAGGTTTAGCAAAACAAGTCAGGCGGTTCGGTGGCTCAGCCTGTAATCCTGTGCCTTTGGGAGGCTGAGGTAAGTGGATTGCCTGATCCCAGCACTTTGGGAGGTGAAGGTGAAAGGATTACCTGAGCCCAGGGCATCAAGACCAGCCTGGGATACTTGGTGAGACCTCGTCTCTACAATAAATCAAATAATTATCTGGGTATAGTGGTGCACGCCTGTAGTTTCAGCTACAAGTTGGAAGGGGCAGATAGGGGCTGGAGGGAGCAGGAACAGGGAAATGGAGTTAAGATAAGGCTTCTTAAGATGGCAGAGGTTTAAAAAGGCTTCATTGTTACTGGAAAAGAACTGGGGGGGGACGTTGAATGTGCAAAAGAGAAAGGGAATAGGATTTACAAGTATTTTAAGGGCTGACTTGGGAAAGAGGAACACAATGCAGGTAGCTTTGGAGACAACGTTGTTTTGGTTTTTTTACTCCAAGATTCCTTTATCATGCTGCCTCATATTAGGTCCTACAGACTGTCCTTTCCAAAAACCAGGAGCCCAGTGAATTATTCATAGGGTCACCAAATCCCCACCACCACGGTCCTTACCATTTGATAATTCTCAACATTAAACCAGGACCCTGTATCTCACAGGCCCTGAGGGTTTTCAGTATTGTAAAAAGAGTTCCCAAAATGAACTACTTACTGTGTTACTGGGAACTTGGTCTCAGGGATTAAATCATATATCTCTTGCCATTCTTCAGGTATGTCAATAAAACCTCGGTAAACCTTGACTTGTAGCACCGTTCCTATGGTAATATATTGTAAAAGCTTTAAAAATTCTCGAAGAGTATATCCTAATACATTGGCATAGCCAACAGTAATCAGAACATCACCTGAAGAGGGGGGAAAAAAATCAGTAAAATAAAGATAATAGTTTAAAAGGGCTACACTGATTTCTGGCTTTATTGTGAAGTTTTTCATTTCATGGGTTCATATTGTTGGTGTGGTTCTTTTTGAACCCAAACCAGGCTTCAGTCTGTATAAAGACATTCATCTCCGTGACATGAGTATCTTTCACATAATGAAGAATGCATGTAAGATGTTTCTTAATAGCAAAATAAGGTAGATATTATATCATGTTTTTGAGGCATTTCTGAAGCTCTTGGTGTGACAGGCTAAAAAACATAATCTGAACCATCCTTTAGGGTTTTAAAAGTATATTAGTTTCAAATAAAACGAATGGCTATTACTAGGAAAGAAAAAAATCACTTACACTAAGTGATGACTAAATGACCTACTTTCTATTATACCTCCTTGGCAATTCCCAGTTCTCTCCACAGTTAATAGACCGTATTAAACATAAAGCCTTTCATTTTAATTTTCTGTTCACATGCAGTATTCGTTGAGCAAATAATTAATATAAAACATTGGGTAATTAGGCATGTTATAATTAAACTTAAGATGTGTATGCAAGGCCAGGCACAGTGGCTCAAGCCTGTAGTCCCAGCACTTTGGGAGGCCAAGGCAAGAGGATTGTCTGAACCCAGGGGCTCGAGACCAGCATGGGCAACTTGGTGAGACCTCGTCTCTACAATAAATCAAAAAATTAGCTGGGCATGGCAGTGCATGCCTGTAGTTCCAGTTACTTGGAAGGCTGAGGCAGAAGGATCACCTGAGCCCAGCAGGTCAAGGCTGCAGTAGCCATGAACGTGCCACTGTGTTCCAGCCTGGGCGGCAGAGTGAGACTTCAACTCAAAAAAAAAAAAAAGTGTATGTAGAGAGTATGTTGGTTCAAAGGTATTTGACAGCTACATCCCATACTTTAGGACAATGCAGAGCAAGGTAGTAGGCATAGTGGTCTCTGAGTCTCCAGCAGGTGAGAAAAGGATGACACCTTGGCAACAGACACCCAAACTGGAGGAAGCTAAAAAGACCAATTATTCAGCCAGGTTCAGTAGCTCACATCTGTAACCGCAACACTTAGGGAGACCAAGGTAGGAGGATCGCTTGAGGTCAGATGATTGGGACTAGCCTGGGCAACATAGCAAGACCCCATCTCTACAAAAATAAAAATAAAAAAATAGCTGGACATGATGGCATATGCTTGTAGTTCCAGCCAGTCTGGAGGCTCAGGCAAGAGGATCACTTAAGCTCAGGAGTTTGCAGCTGCAGTGAGCTATGATTGTTCCACTGCACTCCAGGGTTGGTGAGATCTTGTCTCAAAAAAAAAAAGACCAATTATTCACTTGCCCTGACTTCCCCTATTTCCTTACCCCCAGCAGCTAAGGCATGGACCTGTAAACTAGATCCAACCACTGGGCTCTGCCATCTGGGTCACTGCACCTGGAGCAGGCGATGCAGAAGAGTTTGACAGAAGCATCTGGTTTTTTTTTTTTGAGTTGGAGTCTCTGTCACCCAGACTGAAGTGCAGTGGCCGCTCCCGGCCACTGCAGCCTCCACCTGCTGGGCTCCAGCAATCCTTCCGCCTCAACCTTCCAAGTAGCTGGAACTACAGGCGCGCGTGACCACGCCCAGCTAGTTTTTTGATTTATTGTAGAGATGAGTTCTTGCCAAGTTGCCCAGGCGGGTCTCGAACCCACGGGCTAGGCAATCCACTCACCTTGGGATTACAGGCTGAGCCACCGAGCCCGGCTTAGCATCTGGTTTCTACAGGTACTTGTATATGGCCCTTTGTTCTCTCACCATTTTCCAAGCCTGGTTCTTCAGCCTTTTTGGCAATTCTGTCAGACTGGTTATTCTAAATTCAGTGCCTTAACAGAGTTGTTTTCGGTTGCTTGTAATGAAGAACCCTGACTGCTACAAGAGCATTCAGAAAGAACCACAAAGGATTTCCCTTTTTTTTTTTTTTTTGAGTCAAAGTCTCACTCTGTCACCCAGGCCAGAGTCCAGTGGTATACTGCTCATGGCCACCATACCCTCAACCTGCTGGGCTCAGGCAATCCTTCTGCCCCAGTCTTCCAAGTAGCTGGAACTATGGGCGTGTGCCACCATGCCCGGCTAATTATTTGATTTATTTCCAGGCTGGTCTCGAACCCCAGGGCTCGGGTTATTCTCCCACCTCCACCTCCCAAAGTGCTGGGATTATAGGCATGATCCACTACACCCAGCCTGGGATTTCCTTCTTAAGGACAGACTCACCCTGGGCAAAGTCTTAGTCTTCAGATCTTACAAAGTACTCTCTCTTTTTTTTGAGTTGGAGTCTCACTCTGTCACCCAGACTGGAGTTCAATGGCCACTCCCGGCCACCGCAGCCTCGACCTGCTGGGCTCTGGCAGTCTTTCCGCCTCAGCCTTCCAAGTAGCTGGAACTACAGGCGCACGCCACCACGCCCGGCTAATTTTTGATTTATTGTAGAGATGAGGTCTCTTCCAGTAGCCCAGGAGGGTCTCAAACCTGCGGGCTCAGGCAATCCAGTCACCTCGGCCTCCCAAAGTGCTGGGATTACAGGCTGAGCCACCTCTCATGCTGCCAAACAGTAATGGGGGCTTAATAGCTGATATCAGATGACAAGTTTCAATGACATGAAGTTCCAAAGGATGTGTTTACCTTTCTCTGTGTGGAAAGCTAAGGACCCCCAATCACCTCCATTCCAAGACAGCTGAAGCCTATCTTCCTGGGAGAAAAGGATCAGGAAGAAGCACCTTTGCTGATACTACACTCAAGGGGCTTAAGTCAGGAATTACACTGATCCCATAAGAAGCCTGCAAGGAGCCGGGCTCGGTGGCTCAGTCGGTAATCCCGCGCCTTTGGGAGGCTGAGGTGAGTGGATTGCCTGAGCCCGCGGGTTCGAGACCCGCCTGGGCAGCGAGACCTCATCTCTACAATAAATCAAAAAAACAGCTGGGCGTGGTAGCACATGCCTGTAATTCCGGCTACTTGGAAGGCTGAGGCGGAAGGATCGCCAGAGCCCAGTAGGTCGAGGTTGCGGTGGCCGGGAGCGGCCACTGCACTCCAGTCTGGGCGACAGAGTGAGACTCCAACTCAAAAAAGCAAAAAAAGAAGAAGCCTGCAAGGAAAGCCAAGGACAGATATCCATAGTTCTAGATCCTTATTCAAAAAAAGTTCACAGAATTCAAGAAAGTTCTTGTTCATATCCGAAAAAAAGTTCCCAGAATTCAAGAAAATGAGTACTTAGAATGGTGGAGGAAACCTTACTTCAGTCTTCAAGTAGTAGCTGGTGGTAATACAATCAAGCACGAATCCAAAGCTAACTTCAGCTTGAAACAAGGCTACCTGCAGATTGTGCAGTATGAAACAGCTGCTCATCCCGCAGAGGTTAATTACAATGGCAAGAAAAAAAAAGAGAGGAAAAAACCCTCACTGGATGAGATTACTTGCCTAATGTTAAAAGCAGTGTTTATAACTGAAAGCTAGGGGTTGGCATTCTGCTTAATTATGTTGTAAAAGGGTGACTTTTATCAAGAGGGCAGAAAATAAACAGCTTAATTCCCTGACCATTCTGGCTGTAAACCAAAAGTATCCGTGTATGAATGTGATTACTCTGGCAATAGATATTAACATTGCCCTTCATAGAGAAACACCATTTTGGTATTTATGAACACCAACCTCATTACACTTGTTTTTCTGTTTTAATGGGCTGTAGGAATGACATTATATAAACTTTGTCTCGACTGCCTATATTAAATCAACATTGCAGCAGCCAAGCCACTACAGGAAAAATAGATTTTATTTATTTTGAGTCAGGTTCTCACTCTGTTGACCAGTCTGGAGTGCAGTGACACGACCATGGCTCACTGCAGCCTCAAACTCCTGCACTCAAGCAATCCTCCCTCCTCAGCCTCCCACATAGCTGAGACTACAGTCCCACACCACCACACCTGGCTAATTTTTTTATTTTTATTTTTTGTAGAGACAAGGCCTCACCATGTTGCCCAGGCTTGTCAAAAAAAATATTTATCTTCATCTCTCCCAACAAGGTTGTATGTTCCATAAGTGACTCACCATAACTCCCCCAGTGCTTAGTTCAGTGCCTGTACACAGCAAACCTTTAGGAAATGCTCATAGAATGAATATGGCCTGGTAAGGGCAGTAGCCAGTACATGACTTGTATTTGCTGTCAAAGCTATATTAATTTTTTTTTTCCAACCTTGTCACCAAGGTTGGAGTTCAGTGGCATGCTCACGGCCACTGCAGCTTCGACCTGCTGGGCTCAGGTGATCCTTCCACCTCAGCCTTCCAAGTAGCTGGAACCACAGGCATGTGCCACCATGCCCAGCTAAATTTTTTATTTATTATAGAGACAAGGTCTCACCATATTCCTCAGGCTGGTCTTGAACCCCTGAGCTCAGGCAATCCTCTTGCCTCTACCTCCCAAAGTGCTGGGATTACAGACTTGAGCCACCACGCCTGCCTAATTTCTTAAGACTTTGGATATCAGAGTCTGTTAAAGCCACACTGGCCAAAAGAGTTGAAAGTTTAGCCAGGGCCAGGTGCGTTGGCTCACACCTTTAATCCCAGCACTTTGGGGAGGCTAAGGCAGAAGGATTGCTTGAACACAGGGATTTGAAATCAGTCTGGGCAACATAGTGAGACCTCATCTCTACAAAAAAAATTTTTTAACTTAGACATGGTAGTGCACACCTGTAGTCCCAGGTACTTGGGAGGCTGCAGCAGAAATATCGCCTGAGCCCAGGAGGTCAAGGCTGCAGTAAGTTATAATCATGGCATTGCACTCCCACTTGGGCAATAGAGTGAGACTCAAGTCAAAAATAACATAAAGTAAAAACAAAGTTTAGCCAGAATAAACTAACACTAAACTGAATTAGGAAATCAAGATGAAATCCTATCAGGAGACACCAAAGGAGATAAATTTATAGTACATGGATGAGAAATAATGGGGCTGGAAGGCAATGAGAAGAAGGAAATAGAAAGTTTCTAAGATTCTCACCACCCAAAATCTCATAATCATTGCCAAAAATGACTGAATTACAGAGACTGAGACCTAGACAGGCACTGAGGAGAATTGGCAGAATCGTCACAGAGAGACTTGGGGCTCTGGACTCGCTCTGTATTAAAATCTCATTTTTAGTTATAGGCAGTTGGCTAGAAAAGTATGGACTTTCTACGCAGATATGGGCTCGAATCCCAGCTATGACCACAGATTTAGTTGTGTATATAGAACAAATTACTTGATCTCTCTAAGTCTCTATATTTCATTATCTACATTTTAGAGTTGTAAACATTAATTAGATAAACGATGCGGAAGCATCTTGCACAATGCCTGGGACACACTAATTTACTATTCATGTATTAAGCACAGACATAATAAATGTACCAGTACTGTACATAAGTCCTGGATTTAAAAGATGAATTCAGCTGGGCTCAGTGGCTCAGCCTGTAATGCCGCACTTTGGGAGGCTGAGGTGAGTGGATTGCCTGAGCCCACAGGTTCAAGACCCACCTGGGCAACTTGGCGAGACCTCATCTCTACAATAAATCAAAAATTAGCTGGGCGTGGTAGTGGGCACCTGTAGTTCCAGCTACTTGGAAGGCCGAGGCGGAAGGATCGCCGGAGTCCAGCGGGTCAAGGCTGCGGTGGCCGGGAGCGGCCACTGCACTCCAATCTGGGCAACTGAGTGAGACTCCAACTTAAAAAAAAAAAAAGATGAATTCAAGACTGCCTCTGACCTCAAAGCCCTGGTCCCACACTAGCACCCTAGAGCACGTGCCAGGATCATCAACCAGCATCTGTACCTGACCTTGGAGAAGCTGAGAAGCAGCAGAAAAGCCCATGGGACCTGAGCTATAGTTCTTATATCTGGGAAGTCCAAAACTCTCCTCTGGGAGTCTGTTCCCCAGCACAAGTAGTGATGTGCGGAGAAAATGCTTTGAATTTTAAGGTACAGCAAACTATTTCATAACAGCATCATACATCTACCTTCTTCTTTGCTTGGAACCCTACCTGCAGTTTAGAATCGCCTAAGGAACTTTTAAAACATGAACTTCTGGCCATTGCTTCAGTAAACTCTTGTGTGGCCACGTGGTTCTTTGAGCTATGGCTGCCGCCATGTTTCCTAAGCTTTGGCCCCCTCCCTTACTTTGGGGAGGCAAATTTCCTCTTTTGTCTCTCTTTAATTTACTTTCTTTTTCTTTTTTTGAGTTAGAGTTTCACTGTTGCCCAGGCTGGAGTGTAGTGACACACTCACAGCCACCACAACCTCAACCTGTTGGGCTCAGGCAATCCTCCCGCCTTAGCCTTCCAAGTAGCTAGAACTACAGGCACACGCCATCACACATGGCTAATTTTTTGGTTTACTGTAGAGATGAGGACTCGCCAAGTTTTCTAGGCTAGTCTCAAACCTGTGAGCTCAAGCAATCCTCTCACCTCAGCCTCCCAAATTGCTGGGGTTATAGGCATGAGCCACCGCGCCCGGCCAAATTTACTTTCTAAATAAATGATATTTTCCAATCAAATAAATACATAAAATAAAACATGAACTTCCCTATCCCAACTCCAGAACCATTGAATCAGAAACTCTGGGGACACGGGGTCCAGATATTTCCATTTTAAATGCTCCCCGGGTGATTCTAATAGGTGACCAACATTGCAAACCAGTGGTTTAATTTGATGAGACTCCTATACCGCAACAATTTTATATTAAAAAACACACACTGGATTGCCTGGGCCCGCGGGTTCGAAACCCACCTGGGCAACTTGGCGAGACCTCATCTCTACAATAAATCAAAAAAAATCAGCCGGGCATGGTAGCGCATGCCTGTAATTCCGGCTACTTGGAAGGCTGGGACGGAAGGATCGCCGGAGCCCAGCAGGTCGAGGCTGCGGTGGCCGGGAGCAGCCAATGCACTCCAATCTGGGCGACAGAATGAGACTCCAACTCAAAAAAAAAAAAAACATACACACACAAGTCTAGAGAATCTGCAAATAAGAACAGCATAAAAGAAACAATTGCCAATATTTCTATAGCCCTTAAATGTTTGTTTGTTTGTTTGTTTGTTTGTTTGTTTAGAGACAGGTCTCACTCTGTTGGTCAGGCTGGACTGCAGGGACACAATCACGACTCACCACAGCCCTGACCTCCTCAGCTCAAGCAATCCTTCCACCTCAGCCACCCAAGTAGCTGGGACTACAAGTGTGTGCCACCATGCCCTGATAAAGCACTTTAGTTTTAAAAGCACTTTCATAAAAACTATCTTATCAAATCCTTACAATCTCTGACAAAAAATGGGATTATCTCAATTTATAGATGAGGTAACTAAGGCCTGAAAAGTTAAGTGACTTTGTCCAGGGTCACAGAATAGAAAGTGGCAGAGCCTGGACTTGAATCCAGACCAGCCAACACAAAATGTTTTCTCCTTCTCACCACAGCACCATCCCATTGTGCCTCCCCCACTCCTAAGCACAGCACTAAGACCAAGCCAGGCTCTGGGAAAACACGTCTTAAATTGCATGGAAAATTCATTCACCCAAAGACAAGAGGAACAGAGCCCTGCAGTCTGACAGAGAGGGTTCATTTCTGGGTGTGAACATGGGCACATTACTAAATATCTGATTCCTTGTCTGTAAGGCAGTTTAATGTAGAATCTACCTCAGAGATTGTGAGAGTAAAATGAGATCATGCAGCTAAATGTTCGCAATGATTAATTGTTTATGAAAGAAAAAAAAATCGACGCACAGAGACCCATAAGCTCTGGAGTAACACAGTGCCTGTGCTCGTATCTCACTTATTAGACACAGGTGAATCTGGACAGGGAACTCAGTCTCACTGAGCCTCAGTTTTCCCACCCATAAAAGGAAGATAATAACAGTTGCTACCTGGAGGGTTATTAAATTAAATGAATCAATTCACCCAATATGACACATATAAGTGATAGTAACAGCAATTAGCTGACCCATAGAAAGTTCTCAACCAATGTCATTTCTTCCTAGTTAACCTGGTGACCCAAGGCTCCCTGAAGGCAGATGGGATGGGGTGAGGGGAGTGGATTGCTGGGAAGCATTGGAGAACCACAGTTACCTGGCTGGAGTTTCCCGTCCTTGGCTGCAGCCCCTTTCTTGATGAGGTGGGAAATCTGGAGGTAGGGCCCATGCTGGATGATGATCAGGCCTAAGCCCATGCGGCCCACAGTCAGTTTGGTCTGCTGTGTTTTGCTCAAGGCGTGTACGGATGTCTTGACCTTGATGCTGACTTGTTTCTCTAATAGAAAGAAGGGAGCTTGTGTCAGTCCCTCACCAAGACAGAGGTCTAACAGTAGATTCTGAAGCCAGATCCCTGGGGCAGTGGTTTTACCTCAACATTCCTCGATTTACTCATCAGTAAAATGAAGATAGTAAGTGTCTACCGCGGAGAGCTGTTCTGAGAATTAAATGGGATCGCTAAAGGCTTTTGCAACAGAGTCTGGCATATGATGATTGCTTAATCATTATCAGTTATTACTATTATCCACTTAAATATTTATTGATGCAGGCAGTGTGCTAGGCCCTGGATTTGCCACAATGAGCAAACCAGATGCGTTTCTTGCCCTCAGGAATCTTACAGCCTAGTGGAGGGGTCAGATATCTATCAGTCATGTAAATACAGTGTATACCAGTATAACTACGAGTATAAAGCATGCTATGAAGTATGGAGAGCATTGAGGGTTAACCCAGGGACCAAAGTCTCATATGGGGAGGCAGTTCAGGCTTCCCAGAAGGGTTAAAATTTGAATTAACTTCAAAAGAACCAATAGGAAATACCTCCTCAAAGGAGGGTGGGGAAGCACATTGTATCAAAGTCTGAGACAGGAAGGAACAAGCCCTGTCAAAGGAGCCCGGAGGTGGAGGAGCCAAGGCCAAGCAGTCTGGGGATGGTTCTCAGATTTACCTAATTGTAAGGTTTAGACATGATTTAAACTGGACAGGATCAAAAATTTGATTTTTTTTTAATGGAAAGGAAAAGTTAATGGCACATGTCATGGTGGTGACACTGGAAATTGACAGTAGGTGGATCCAAAAAGCACTTGGGAGGAAAACCCAAAGGCCTTGGGGACAATAGTTAGGGAGAAGGGCTAAAATATGTTTTCTAAAGAACCAAATCTCACAAACGGTTTCCAGGCCTGAGTAGTGATTCAAAACAAGTTATTTTCCCAAGAGGAAACTTCCGGGAGACTCCTTTCCAGTTCGCAGGAAGCTTCTGGGAAGTTGTTTACAGAACACCTTTGCAGCATTTCACACGCAACTCTTTCCCATAAGGACAAGTGACTTGCCAAGTCCGTGTGACTATGGTGTTTTCAGGGCCATTGCTGAGGGAGGGGCTCCCCCATACCCACCCCTGACTGGGAGCTGGAGGACGGGGTTCATGTCCTTTCCTCAGAACCTCCCATCTTCAGCCTCATCTTCCCCCAAACAACAGATGCTCTTGGTCTGGAAAATAAACTAACATAGTATAAAGAAGATACTGTCTTCGGAGGCCTTTCAGCGTTTGGGGAGCGATTTGGGGCAGGGCATGCCCTTCTTGCGCCTCTGGTTCCTGAGCAGCCAAAGACGTCACATCTTAGGCAGGGCCCAGGTTGCAAATTCAATGTGCCTCTGACGTAAACTACTATGGAGGCCAGTTTCGAAAGCCAGCAGGGTTAGGTGAAAGACACCAGACTCAAAAGGCTCCTTACTATCTGATTCCATTTTCACGTCATTCTCCGTGGAAAAGGCAACACTATAAAAGACAGACGGGGGTGGGAGGAGCGGGGGGTGGGGGTGAGGGGTTGGCCGCAACAGGGCAGAGAAAGGTAATTTTGGGGTGCGTAGGAACCTGTCTTGATTGAGGGGGTGACTCAACGTGGGTATACGCTTGTCAAAACTCACACCGCTGTACTCTAAAAGGGGGGGATTCTGCCGTGTGGAAATTATACTTGGATAAGCACACGGTGGCAGGAGGTTATCTCCCAGGCCAAGCGTGTGATGTTGCCATTTTACAAAGGAGGAAAAGTGAGGAGGGCTTGGTCCCCCGGGCCTCACCCTCTCCCCAGTTACCACTTATGTTTTTGCGGGAGGCCTTCTCCATGGTCCCGGGAGGGCGGGCGGCTCGGGAGAACCCCCCGGAGCCGAGGCCGGGATCGATCCGACGCCCAACAGTTTCGAACCTTGGAGGAGCCGGCTTGCCTCGGGCAGACGGCGGGCAGCCAGGGGACCGCGGGCATCGCCCCTCGTGCTGGCCGCCAGGGGGCGCTGCGACGCCGCGGCCTAGAGCCCGGAACTCGGGGCGCGGGTACCGCACTGAATGTCGTGTGTGAAAGCTTCGGTGGAGAGGGACCAAAGATCTGCGGGGACTAGCACCGCGCCTGACTCACAAAGGGGTTCCTCATTCATTCTCGGTGAAACAATGAAATGGGGAAGGGGAGAAAACACAGAGGAGGGGATCTCATCGAAGATGTGAGGTGGTCTTCAGAGGAAGAACATAGCTAGAGGATCACAGAAGATCACAGAATGCCTAGAAGATCAGAGAATTCCCTGCCGCGCTCCTAATAATGATATTTTTAAATACTGTTACATCAATAGCGCCAATGCTTTGGAACTTGCACTTGTTTCACGGATGTTTTGAATGAGAAAAGGCCCCAGGGTGGCCTGGAAAAAAAAAAAAAAAAAGAAGAGTCATTCTTAGGAGAGACACTATTGATGCTGCCTTCTTTTTTCCAAAATAATTCTTCCTCCCACACACTTTCACTCATACAAATATTTACTGAAAGCTGCTCTACAGCTTGTGCTGCTGCTGGGGACACAACAGCAGACAAGACAAACATGGGCTGTATCCTCTTGGAACTTGTATTTAAAAAACAGATCAAATAGACAATTTTAGAAAAAAATATATCATCAAGAATAAGTTGCCGGGCGCAGTGGCTCACAGTCTTTAATCTCAGCACTTTCGAAGGTAGTGGTGACAGGACTGCCTGAGGCCAGGGGTTCGAGACCAACCTGGGCAACTTGGCAAGACCTCGTCTTTACAATAAATAAAAATTAGCTGGGTATGGTGGCACACACCTGTAGTTCCAGCTACTTGGAAAGCTGAGGGGGAAGGATCACCTGAGCCCAGCAGGTTGAGGCTGCGGTGGCAGTGAGCGTGCCACTGCACTCCAACCTGGGCGACAGAGTGAGACTCCAAGTCAAAAAAAAAAGGAATAAATCCTAGGCTGGGGGCAGTGGCTCATGACTGTAATCTCAGTACTTTGGGAGGCTGAGGTAGAAGGATCACTAGAGGCCAGATGTTCAAGACCAGCCTGGACAACATAGCAAGATCCCTATCTCTACAAAACATTTTTTAAAATTAGCTGGGCATGGTGGTGTGCACCTGTAGTTCCAGCTTCTCAGGAGGCTGGGACAAGAAGATTGCTTGAGCCCAGGAATTCAAGGCTGCAGTGAGTTATGATTGCACCACTGCAATCATAAAGACACTGGATGACAGAGCAAGACCCTGTCTCAAAGGGGAAAAAAAATTAAACCTTTATAATAAATAAGCATGGCCTGGTGTGGTGGCACACTCTTATAATCCCAGCACTTTGGGAGGCCAAGGTGAGAAGATTGGCCCACAAGTTTGAGACCAGCCTGGGCAACTTGGCGAGACCTCATCTCTATAATGAATCAAGAAAAATTAGCTAGGCGTGGTGGCACACACCTGTAGTTCCAGCTACTTGGAAAGCTGAAGTGGAAGGATCACCTGAGTACAGCATGTCAAAGCTGTGGTGGCCGTAAGCATACCACTACCCTCCAGCCTGGGCGACAGAGTGAGACTCCAACTCAAAAATAAATAAATAAATAAACAAAGAAGAAAGAGAAAACAACAAAATAAGTCAGGGCCTGTTGTTATCCCCTCTCTGATGAAACTAAGGGGTTAAGCACCTTGCCAGAGGGCATTCATTCATTCAACAAATAGTGGTCAAGCACCTACTGAGTGTCAGGACACCATGCAAAGATTGCCATAGTACACCTAGGTAAGTCCCAGTTATTCAAGTGTCTCTCTGCTCTACCTAGACGATAAACCAGGACAGATTTCTTGTTAGATAAATCCTGAGTCACAGAGGCTGGTACAAAAGGTTACTTTCTACCTCAGTCTTCTGCTGGTGGTTTCTTGTAACAGGTCACCTGTTTTCTTTTCAAAGAGTCTAGCAGGAGCCAGGCATGATGGCTTATGCCTGTAATCCCAGCACTTTGGGAGGCAGAGGTGAGAGGACTGCTTGAGCCCAGGGGTTCGAGACCAGCCTGGGCAACTTAGTGAGACTTTGTCTCTACAATAAATCAAAAAATTAGCCAGGCATGGTAGTGCATGCCTGTTGTTCCAGTTACTTGGAAAGCTGAGGTGGAAGGACCACCTGAGCCCAGAGTTTGAGGCTGCAGTGGCTGTGAGCGTGCCACTGCATTCCATCCTGGGCAACAAAGTGAAACTCTAACTCACACACACACAAAAAAAAGTCTGGTAGAGATCTACCCAGATATCAACCTAATTCTATCATGAAGTGCATCCTCTTTATTCATTTACTATCAGTAGGGAAAGGGTGAGAGTTTGTGGGAAGAAAGCCCATCAGCATTCAAGGTTCTGTCATGGGAGCCTATCAGTGCCTGTCGTAGACGCCCCCTCAGCCTTCCCTCCTTCCAGGCTGGAAAGTCTCTTGAGAGTAGATACCACAGTCACACTAGTTGGTGGAATTACAGGTTTCAAACCTTCGTGGGTGCTGTGCTATGCTGCCCAGCCTGACTTCGCAGCTCAATCCTGCTTCCTTCCCCTCCCCCACAGGTGGAGATCAGGGCTGAAGGATTTACACCTCCCACCCTCATTGCTGCTGTTGGCTGAAGAGAGCCTTTTTGCCCAAGACCACATATCCCATGGCAGCTAGCATCCAATGACTGGCCAACACAGGGCTATCTCACCTTCAGAGCTCCCCACGGGGCCCACCGAGGCCCTGCTGGGCTGAAGCCAGCCTAACTTCTCCCTCTGTCTTGTCTTGTTTCCTTGCTTCTCGCCATAGATGAGGGTCCCAAAAGCAGTCTCCTAATAAAGTACCTGCAATTCAGAGACTGTTTCCTAGAGAATCTGCAACAGCTAGTGCCAGAGGTGACCTGAAAGAGTGAGTGTCAAAATGGGATTTCGGAGCTGGATCACCTGCTGCTCAGGATGTAAAGGATGGGCCCCTGTACCCCAACTCAGGACATCCTTGTTGGAAGAGCAGCAAAGGTAGCCTCTAAGATTGCTAATTTTTTTTTTTTTTGAGTTGGAGTCTCACTCTGTCGCCCAGACTGGAGTGCAGT